TATATATATATATATATATATATATATAATCCATTAAAATGATTAATTTAAAAATTATAATAAAAATAAATTAAAATTCTATTTAAATGAATATTTTAATATAAATATTAAAATTTAAATCTCACCCCTATATTAACATCCTATAGTTGTGTGACTAGGGCTATCAAAATGAGTTGTTGCTCGTAATCTGCTCGATAATCAAACGAGCCAAACACGAACAAATTTTTTGAGCTCAATATATAAACGTGTCGAACACAAAAAGTTATATTTTTAACAAGTCAAACACGAGTCAAGCTTGAGCTCGCTCAATATCAGCTCGTTTACACCCTTAATACTACCGTTGAGCTGACTGCTAACGAATAAGTTCAAGAGGAAAGGACGTTGCACTAGTGGCGTGCATGTCTGTCCCTCCCTCCATCTCACGGAGCGGCAACGAGTCAGACAACTCTACTATCTCCTCAATCATTTGTTTCTTTTGTACTATTTCTTGAACAACTTCGTTCCCTCTATTTAACTCACTTTTTCTGGCCATTTTGGTTTAATCGGCCATCCTTTTGCCCTTCAAGTTCTTTGTAGTCGATCAACCCTTATCTACGCGATTCTTCTTTAGTATAAGCCGAAAACTATCGGGTTTCTTCTTCTTCTCTGCAACGGGATGACAGAGTTTTTGAGTTGAAAGCATGAAAGCTTTCAACATGACTTCCTTACTCACAGGTTTCTTACCACTCGCCATCACCTGTTTATGTTAAAAATTGGCTGAAAGTTTTAGAAATTGTGATGAAAAAGTTCCACTATTTAGAGGGAACGTGAGCACAAAAATCTAGGGAGTTTAATTATTAGAAGTATTTATTATATAATAAATAAGTTAATTTTTGTATTTAATTATCTTAATTTGATCACAATTATTGCTTTTATGAAAAAAGATAATCGAGAAATTAAATATGTACATAAAAAATGTGATAGCGTGAATCTTAACGAAATTCGACAGATCCTACTGAATAGACATTAAAGGATTGCATTAGGAAAGTGAAAAAGACAGACAATTTCCTTCTGTCATAACTATGGGCTGACTGAACGAAAGCATAGTCGAACGAAAGACTGTGTGGCACCTAATCCGAGACTTCTTCGAAAAGATGGATAAAGGACACCCTCTTAAATATATTTTCAATTATCTGAGAAGGCTCCTTATCGAAGGAGAGCTGACTGTTAGTTTACGGTTATACAACCTTTGCCTGACTGACCAATTTCATCCTAACAACAAGAAGACCTCTACTAAGGATTATCTCGCAAAATTTGACTGAAGACTTTCTAGTTGACCAAAAACCTTCCAATTGGTCGAAGACTTCTCAGCCGACCGAACGATTCTCAGACAACCGAATGATAATATTAGCGGACTATTAAATGTCCTTATCAAAAAGTTATGAAAAGACTTTCTAGTCGACCAAAAACCTTCCAATTGATCGAAGATTTCTCAGCCGACCGAACGATTCTCAGACGACCGAATGATAATATCAGCGGACTATTAAATGTCCTTATCAAAAAGTTATGAATATAAAATTGTGCCAACATTAGCTATAAATATTAAAGAGCTTTGGAGTGAGTTATAAATATTTAAATGAGCAATAATTACTTGTAATGTCTCTATTAAGATAGAGACAAACATATAACTTACTAGATACTCCTATGATAGATAAATATTAAGTCATTTTTTTAAGGAATGACCATTGAATTTATTTCCTCATAACTTATATTACTGTGCATAATATTTCTCTTTCTCTCTATTCCTCTCGTGATTTCAACGCTCGATTCCTTAGATACGTGATTCAAGAGACATTTTTGGATTCAATATTATTCTTGTAATCTTTTTCGATTAAATATTCAAATTATTTGTCAAATTTTCTTAATAGTGTACATATTATATTTAAAAAAAATAATAAGAATATTATCTATTTCAATATTATATTTCTTTAAATAAATTTATAAAAAAGTGATATTTTTAAATTTTTATTTTTAAAAATTTCAAATGAATAATAAATATAATTTTTATTTTTATTTAAAAAGTTAAAAAGTATAAGAATAGCAAATATTTTTTGTATTTTATGATAAGTAAAAAAAATAAAATAAAAGCAAACTAAATTAAAATATTTAAAAATAGAAACTGATCCCAGACGCCCATTGTTTTTTATATCAGTCGTTCAGTATTAAAAACAGAAAAAGAATCGATATTTTACGACGCAATTTCCCGACTTCGCCCAAGAGTTGCATAACAACTCCGTGAAGAAAACCCTACTCGATATTCCGTGAACAAAACCCTACTCGGTATTTGCCGTGTTTTCAGGATCGGCAACTCTTTCAAGTTCTCAGTTCCATTCCTTGGTTCGACACAGGTATGCGTTGCATCATCTTCGATTATTTATTATTGTGATAAGGAAAACCATTATTCAGGAGCCATTAGGGTTTTCCAGCGCTGAAGATGAGGACGCGAAAGACGGACTCCCCTAAATCTGGCCCTGGGAAGAAGGCGGCGCAAGCTAAGAAGGAGTTGGCCGCTGTGGAGAAAACCCCGGAATCGACACAAAAATCCGCGCTGAAGCCGACACCGAAAACATCGGGGACGAAGGGGGCCAGGGGTAAGCAGTCGGCAACGAAAGCTGCAGCGGCTGCCGAGGTTGTCGATGCCTCTAAGGCCAACGCGGTGGTTGCTGCTGCTGTCACTGACTCTGAAGGTGTGGTATCCTTTCTTTATGTCACCGCTGGCTAGTGTTTGCATGCACACCCTAGATTATCATTTTCTAACTTGCTTTTTAGTTGACGCTAAAGAAATGGAGACTTCTGTGGAAGTTCCGGAGAAATCACTTGAGAAAAAGGTCCGTGCCAAAGCGAAGTCACCGCTGAGTGGGAAGTTAGCCGATTCTTCCTTCCCCAAAGAGAAGGAAACTATGGAAGAACCTGTTGCTAAAATAGAAGGGGAAGAGATTAAGGAAAATGCTAAGGAGGGGCTGCAGTTTGGCACTACTGCTATTTTGCAGGAAGAGTTGCCAAGGCTTGATGTTACCTCTGATAAGAAGTATGAGGAAGAGGATTTAGTGATTTCTGTGGTAGGGCCAGAGATTGAACAGATGGATTCTAAAACTGATGCAGATGAAGCACTTGAGGAGGCTGTTATAGAGATCAAACTAGAAAGTAGTATAACAAAAAATGATGAGCTTGAAGCTATTCCAGAAGTAAATGATGTAAATACGACTTACCCACATGTCAAAGGTGGTACACGTATTAGTGAAGGTCAAAATGACGAATCAGATGGTAGAAGTGAAAAGAACGCTTATGAGGACCAGCAGATGGATGAAGCAATAGGGCGGGATAACTTAAGGGGAACTGGTGAGGAGTTTCCATCAGTAGAGGCAGGAGAAGGTGAAGTTGAAGGAGAGGGTGTGGAAGGTGTGAGGGATGATGAAGAAGGCCCCAAGCTTGAGGAGGAGGAGAAGATTCAAATTTCTGATATGGCCAAAGCAAGAAAGATGAAAAAGGAACAGGAGATTTTTGTTGGAGGTCTGGATCGGGATGCTGTGGAGGATGATTTGAGGAAGGCATTTGAAAAGGTTGGTGAAGTTGTTGAGGTGCGGTTGCACAAAGACTTTGCTACCAACAAAAACAAGGGCTTTGCTTTTGTTAAGTTTGCTAGCAAGGAACAGGTAGCCCGTGCTCTTGAACAGATGAAAAACCCTTTGGTAAGATTAGCACATATATATATATATTTTGCATCGTACTTTGCACATATTTTATCATATTATTAATTATTGACAACCTGACAATATTAATGTGCAAGCTTTTGTGAAGTGTTTTAATAAGTTGTTGTGCTATATTGTCAATAATAATATTTGGATTTCAGTTGGAAAATTTTGTTAATTTATGTCTCCTCATTACAGATTTTGGGTTAGTTCTTCTTTTATAATTTATGATTGGTGTATTATTCTTCAGATACGTGGAAAGCGCTGCGGCATTGCGCCTAGTGAAGATAATGACACTCTCTTCTTAGGGAATATTTGCAATACTTGGACTAAAGACGCAGTATGTCCTTCATTCCTACTGCTTTTTGCCTTTGAATTTTACTGTTAATTGTAATGCCAATGATTCATAATCTAATTTCACATACGATTAGGTAAAGCGCAAGCTAAAGGACTATGGCATAGATTCAGTTGAGAGTATAACACTGGTTGCAGACACACAAAATGAAGGATTGAGCAGGGGCTTTGCCTTCCTTGAATTTGCTTGCCATGCAGATGCAATGGCTGCTTACAAAAGGCTCCAGAAGCCAGATGTGATTTTTGGCCATGCTGAAAGGACAGCAAAAGTAGCTTTTGGTGAGCCACTACGAGAACCTGACCCAGAAGTCATGGCACAGGTTCTAATATTTTAACTGATGAGCTTTCATTATCTTCTAGAACTATCCAAATCTTTGCTCGAGTTATCAGTCTGTTTTCCCTATTTGATACAGGTGAAATCAGTGTTTATTGACGGGCTACCACCATATTGGGATGAGGATCAGGTGAAGGAGCATTTTAAAAGTTTTGGAGAGATTGAACGGGTGGTCCTTGCCCGGAACATGTCTACTGCCAAACGGAAGGATTTTGGGTTTGTAAACTTCACTAACCATGAAGCAGCTGTAGCATGTGTTGAGGGTATTAATGACTCTGAATTGGGTGATGGAAAATCTAAGGTAGTTTATTTTTATTTGTTTTTTCTTTAAAAATTGTGGCCTTTATCTTTCAGTTGTTGAATCATAATTTAGCTTTGAGCTTTTTCCCATGAGCAGTGTAATTTTTGTTTGATGCATTTACATACAGAGAGCTATTTGAGCTATAGTATTTATATATCTAACGTTCAAAGCTTAATTTTTATTTACTTACCTCCTTTAATTTTGTACCCCTCTTTGTTTCAAATTGCTTTTGAACTTGCGTTAAAATACTACTCAATCCTGTCCAAAGGCCTTTTGTGGTTAATATAAAATTGTAATAAGATAATTGAGGTTATCACGTATGATATGCACCATGATAGTAATTTCTCTACTTGATATTTTAAGCTAATGTATCTAAAAACCTTAAGTGGAGGAAAAAAAGCAAATCAACTAAAAATTACTCAAACTCGGAAGCAAATATTTTGATTGGAAGAAGAAAGCTCTGAAGGGCCACTGTTGGAAAATTTGAATTTTGGAAGAGCATGAAAAAAAGGAATTAATCACTTTTATTGCAAAATTTCAGAAATAACTAAAAGTTCACCAAAATAAAATTAAACTTCGACATTCATTAATAATCAAGTTCTAAAAATTTTGCATACCAATCCAAACAAAGCGGAAGTTAATAAAAATGGCCAAGTAAAGCAAAGTGGGAATCATGGAATCTCTTGAACCAAACTTTGAAATTTTGGCTGAAAATGAAGTTATTATAAACTTACCAATATTTGAGAATCAACGTCAGAATCACCCATAAAATGAATCAGAGGTTATTATAAGATTAATCCAAAGAAATAACACAAAATGACCATAAACTGAGAATGAAATGCATGGGGAGACCTAGTTTGAACGGAGGAGAGATATGAGCTAGAAGAACTCAGGAGATATGTGAGTTCCAGTTGGTGAGTGGTGCTTTGCTATGGGAGAGAATTGATGGATGGATGATTGTTTTCATGTGGGCATGAAGTTCGTGGGTGAATTTTAAGTGGAGAGGGGAATAGAGTTAACAGAAGTTTAATTTTGAGGTGTTAAAGAGAATTTATGTGTTATATAAGTAAATATTAGGTTTTGGCTGTCAGATATGTAAAGACCATAGCTTAATTTGTTATTTATGTAAATATCCTTATGTTTTTATATCCAAGTAAAGAATGTGATGATCTACTGGCATTCACTTTATCATAATGAAGTTGCTTTTGGTTGAAAGTAAGGTGACAGGGAGAACTGAACTTGATGTGTTATGTTGATTGCAGAAAATGTGTAAATATAAGGTTTTGGCTGTTAAATGTATGGAAAGACCTTAGTTTAATTTGCTATTTATGTTAATATCCTTTTGTTTTTATATCCAAGTAAAGAATGTGATGATCTATTTAATAATCAAGTTTATCATAATCAAGTTGCATTTGGCTGAGGTTAAGGCCACGAGGGAGAGTTGAACTTGATGTAATGTTGATTGCAGAAAATGCTGCAGTCAAAGCTAGGATGTTCAGTAGTTAATTTAAAGTTTTGTTTAAGATAAGATTTAAGAATACAACACACCATCATTTTTGTTAGCATTATCCCAATTTTTTAGGGTTTGGTTTTGTGAAACTTCATTTTGCTTTATTCTCACTGAATGCTGCCCAAAGTGTAAACTTGTTTTGCCTGAAAATGAAGTGATTATGAACTTATCATTATTTGAGAATTAACATCGGAATCACACATAAAATGACTCAGAGGTTATTATTAGATTAATCCAGAGAAATAACACAAAATGACCATAAACTGAGAATGAAAATGCGTGGGAAGACGTAGTTTGAGCGGAGGAGAGATGTGAGCTAGAACTTGGGAGATATGTGAGTTCTAGTTGATGAGTGATGCTTTGCTAGGGGAGAGAATTGATGGATGATTGTTTTCATGTGGGCATAAAGTTTGTGGGTGAATTTTAAGCAGAGAGGAGAATAGAGTTAACTGCAATTGTTGGGTCCCAAGCCCTGGATGTGAAAGTGGAGGGTTTCGTTAGGTAGTCAATAGTCAGTGTAAATTTGTCGAAAAATCATGACATGAATCCTTTTGATTATTTTGTAAATGCTAGGGTGTCACCTGGAAGCGAGCGCTTTATAGCCTGAATATTGTGAAAAGTGTGCAAGGGCCGCTATACTGGTGTCCGGGTGTAGTTTCAAATAAACAAGAGTCCCCACATTACTGATGGATTCAGATAAAAAAGTTAGTTCATGACACTAAATTATGATATGATCTTGGAATATATGTACACTCACAAATAAATTAATGGAATTAATTGATATTATGATTTATAGAAAGATAAATATCTTATGTATTTAAGAAATTAATGAGTTGGAGAAATCGCTAAGGATTATGATAACTTAGGTTTTAAACTTCAGTACTTAGGTAAGAGTTGCATTAGAAATGGTGGCATAATTATAGATAAGAGTTTGAAAGATAATGTTATAAAAATCAATAAAATTGGAGATAGAATTATAGTTCTTAAGATTATTGTTGGTATTAAGATTTTTAATATTATGAGTGCTTATACTCCTCAAGTAGGTTTAGATATAGCTTCTAAAGATAAATTCTAGAATGATTTAGAAGACTTAGGGTCTGTTTGGGGCAGCTGCAGCTTATCCAGCTTCTGCTGATAAGCAGCTTATCCTGATAATCTGCTGATGACCAGCTGATCCGGATAAGTTGTTTGGCTGTTTGGTTAACGCGTCTGGAAAACAGCTGATTGTGAAAAATTGACC